AAAGGACACTTCACTCTGATTGGGCAGAAAAACACAAAGATTTTCTGGCACCAATCAGGTGCCAGAACGACTGCGACCGTTTGGAACTAGTCTTGTAAGACAATGTCCCCAGGGGCTCTTCTGCCCTTAACTTGAAATCGACTCACAGCCTCTGGGTCTCCGAGGTTCACACCACGCAAAATGAACATGTCAAGAACGCATTTTGGAATTGTGAAGATTTGCAATGGAAATGTGTGTTGATTATGTAGACTTAAAAGGGGTGAAAAAACCAACTAAAGTTTAATATAATTCCCAATGAAATTTCTCTCTTTCTGAGAACATTGGCTACATTTTGAACATAAAATATATCACATCATCAGTAATCATCTTTTGCACTTCTGGGACAAAATAATGACACGCACTGAAAGATTTTCATGGTGATATTAGGGTTGGGTTGTACTCAGTTGTAGTTTTTTCCCCAGTTTCCTGTGCCTCCGAAGGAAACTGAGAATAGAAGGTCGAGGAGCACTGATAATGACATAAGTTGTGCCGAAATATGCCTTTAAAAGCATTCTCTTGATTTTTAAATTCATTTTTATCTACTAATAAAGCAATATTGAAGAGGTTACTAAAGCCAATGGAGATATTCACCCGAAAGAGCTTTTAAGGATAGGCAGTTCAACCTTCAGCAAACAGATTTTTTTCTAGTTACCAAGTGACGAAGTTTGTTTGTGTGTGTTTTTCAGCGATAAATCCTGTAAGCTGTACATATTTTTTAACCATAATTTACGTCCTCATGAGTTATTAATAGAAGAAATAGAAATAGATTAAGACCTAGAGCTCCACTTTTAGGCTTGTCTTAATATGGACAATAGGGCTTCGGAGATAGTTTTAAGGAAATGCACCTTTTACCCAATTTGTGAGAGAATGTGTTCATACCTTTTTGGTGAATGGTGACTTCAGTTGCGACCTTTTCTTCCACACCCTGTGCAATGCATCTATAGCGTCCAAAATCATTGCCCTCCTTAAGTGCGACACGCAAATTAATCCCTTCTGATTTGAGAAATGTACCATTGGGCAGTTGCCAAGTAATGTCAGGTGGTGGAAACCCTTTAACAGGGCAACAGATTGTCTTTGATTCTCCAATGGTTGCTTCAGTACTTGTGGGACATAGGTCATAATCCACGTACAATGCTAAATATCGAAAAAAAATATATAAATACAAATAATATGCCTGAAGTTTCACGGAGATCTCGGGAGAAAAGAGGTAAGTAATGAACAACTACCCTGGCAAAAGTGGAGAGCTTTAAACCTCACTACAAGTACAACAACAACTACAAGTTTTTGCATTCTTACACCACAGCAGACAGCTGAGTTGTCACAGGAGATGGTGTTACGCCATCAACCAATTCATACAAAGGCCAGACCATTACCAGACTTTTTATCATGAGGCTCTCAGCTTCAATTGATATCTAACAACCTGCTGGTTAAACAGCAAAAATTGAAGAAATACGGAAAGCGAAACTGCGGATTATGTTTATACTGATGGAAACACCCAGCTGGCAGGTAGCAACACAAGAAATAAACCAAGGTTTGAAAAGATGCCAATTAAGAACCAAATTGTGATGTACAGCAGTAACACTCAAATACAGTTAACACTTTTATGGGGTATTTGTGAAGAACACCTTCCCTCCACAGTTGGCCGGTTGCTCCCCGGCACCCCCACGATTTCGTTGCCATCAACGAATTCAGAATCATCGATAAGCATGAACTTGACCTGGCATTGAGAGACATGGTCAGGTGTCTTTGAGGGAGCTCAAAGAAGTCTGCAGGAGAAGACTTTGGCAACACCTGCCAGTGATGATGGCTACCACTCGGTCAGCAAACACTAAGTTTTGCCGCTGTGTCCTTAAGGCGCTTTTAAATTACCAAAAAAGAGAGTCAAAATCAAAATTACTGTTCAGCAGAATGAAACTAAAGGTCTGTACTGACTAACTTTAGATAGTCACCCGCAATAAGTTTTTGCTGAGAGTCTCCTGAGACTCTTCAGGACGCTTCTATGTTTCTATCAGTTGGAACTTTGAGTTTTACAAAGCGATGACATAATTTGACATGTGGTCACTTAAAGGTGTGAATTGTTGGAAAAAACATCAAAAAAACCTATTTAATTTTTACACGAATATGCTTTACTTGTGGATTCTTAATTAATTGGGTATGTAAAATTTACAGATTGCCAAGACACCAACCTAAAAAAATGGGTAGGGGAACTCTGTTTTTCAAATGGATCTACTGCAATGGCCTCCAACATGTGTATCAGTAAAATTTTGATCAGCAAACTTGACTGTCTACTAAATTGCACAGCAATGAATAAGAATATCGAAAAATCCCCACACAGTTTTGAAGACCAATCCTCAAGATCAAAATTATGACAAGGTTTCATTTGTGCGGTCAGATTGATACGTGATTAATTTGCTCATTGAAACACCATCCCTTTCGGATTGTGGCAACTCATTGGGCTAATGATTATATTGAGCTAAAACGAAATACTTTTTAGCAGAATAGTGCATTTATAACCTTTTCATTAATAGCGCATTAGTTTGTTTTTTTAAAGACACGTGTGAAGGTCTACTGTATCCTTAAATTATGGGACATGTACAAGTACTGGTTTTAAATTCAGGTCAAGTACTGACAGGGCACCACTAACATTGAACAGAATTGAATGGGTTTAGCAATGAGAACTTCAAGCTAAAAATCATACGCTGTCAACCCTGTGGAAATGATCCACGAATAAGAAAAATTGCACATGATATAAACCACATCGTGTATTACCCTTTTTTGACTTGGGCGCATGCAACTGCCAACCCCTAATATGTTAACAGGAATCCAAGGAAGGAGGGAAGGATAGAAGAAGTAAATGTTCCATCCATACCAATATCTCAGAGTAATGACTATCTCATTATGCGAGTTAAAAATTAAGACAAATCATGATGTGATCTAACACACAAGTTCAGATGGGCACAGCAGTCTCAGCAGTCAAGTTTTCCTAAGGCTGTCACATCGCGCAGACTTCATATTCCTGTAATTTCAACAATTGTTTGTTCACGTAACATAGCACAGCAGTTCACTGAGTACAAGCCACGAGCTTTCAGCCACTATTCAGCTGGATTTCTCTACACATTTCACGTTCACATCCTGCTGATAGACCATAAATGTTGAGTAAAGAGTTGACTTCGAACCTGCTGAACGAATTTGATAGTTTGTGAACTTTTACGATTTGACATATTTTTACAGCTTCAGTATTGTTGAACCAATCAAACTTCTTGAACCAGTTTTTACAAGTGACACCATAAAATGTAAGCTTTATGAGGCTAGAGGGCTAGGACTTTGAGAAGTGAATATGCAGCATACGTTGTTGAACACTGAGGTGATGCAGATTAAGAACAAACCCCCACCATTCTCTTATCTTTTAAGCAGCCAAGAGCCCACAATATAAGTAAATACTGTCTCTGGAAATATTCCTTTGGCTCATCAGCCACAGAACTTGGGAATAGCTGGAGCAACACAAGCACCTCACAGCTTATAGCTTTGCCAAGGTGTTCCATTATATTAACAGTCCATCTAAGGCTCTGGTTGAAAGCCTGTTTCCCAACAAGGTACCTTTCAAAGTTCATGAGCTACTGTACAAGGAAGAGCCATGGAGTAGGTAACGCGCTCAATATTCGCATGTATCATGCAATCGAAGCGGCTGCGACCCACTTAACTTGGATAATTATTAATGAAAAGCTGGCAATGGTCTTTTTGCAACAATTAACAGCTGAGGGGGTCCACATCCAGGAACATGTTTACAATGCCTTTTTATACTTTTCTTTTTAAAAGCTCTTGCACACTTTCACTTGATTTACAAGGTTAATTTTTTTCTTATTATCGGACATGTTTCTGCATAAACAAAAATTAGGGCAAGAGAGCGTTTGCCTTCCCAATGCTTGTGCTTAAAAAAATCATTTGGAACAAATTAACAGCAAAAGTTACCAATGGTCAAACATTTACTGGCAACAGCCAAAAAAATCAATTCTGCTCATATTCTCAAGCTAGGTAGGCCTTATGGTGAAAAAAAGTACTGCATACTTCGTTTGGCTGAATATGGATTTATTTTCAAGAAAATCGATAATAACTGAATTCTGCCAAAATGCTGCTTTTGAAGCTGAAAGTTTCAGACAAGTCTTGGAGCATGGCGCCACAAATAGGCCATTTTAAAGTTGTGTGCTTAGTTGCCAAGCCTTTGAACAGGGGTGAGGCTGAAGGTGACCTTGTGGAGATAGAGACCAGTATCTAGTTAGCATGATAAAAAGGTTATTTACATTTGAAAAGCAGCAACGTTTGTCTCATAACAAGGTCACCTTAGCCTCACTCCTGTTCAAAGGCTTAGCAACCCAGCGCACAACTGTAAAATGGACTATTGAAAACACTTGGACCCCTAAAAAGTACCAAATCTAGTAAAACAACAACAATATATATGTTGACAGTAATTTGAGCAATTCTTGATCGTTTATTTACACAATCTCACTGAATTTATCCGACTTTCTTTTAAAAAGATTAAAAATAGGTGGAAAGTAACCTGTCATTTAACTATGTGCTAAATAAAATAGTCAACTAAAAACCTGGCTTTTGGAAGACGAAGAGCAGTTCTTTTTGATCTCCGAAGTATTTTTTGGGGAAATGATTCAGTGTGATTAAATCAAATTTAAAAGTTGGATAAAATGAGCTGATTTGTTGGTGCCGTCAGTTAGTCGAAAATGTATACATTCACTCACAAACTCAATTGTTTCGCATTTAACATCCAATCTACAGTTTATTTAACATAATATCATCTTACTGTCCATATATATTGCTGTACCACAAAAGGGGACTGCAGTCCTAAAATTGTTGCATCGCTCCCACAACTGCGATACAACTTGGCAAGATAGTCAACACCTCCTGATAGTGATTATTTACAAAGCGTATCCTCAACCAAACCATAAACAAGGGGAATGTAAGTAAGTAAGGGGAATGTATCCAAGTAAGGGGAATGTTGCTGGTTCAGAAACACGTTTCTTGTGTGCAGAATAACGCTAATCAATTTAAAATGAGGTCTACTAAGATAAAATGAAAAAATAAAGATTGGACTGTGAAGCACATAGCTACAGGAACTAAGGTCGAGTGCCACATATATGAAGGAGCAAACAATTATCTACCTCCAAACATAATTTTATGTATTGCAATTGACTATTTCATGGTACTCCGATGATTAAAGCTCAATTTAGGACAAAAAGAGTGAAAAATCAGAAAAAGTGAAGAACAGCTACCCCAAAAAACTGTCGGCCGACTGTTAACCAAAAGTTGGCCGACTATCGTTTACTGCCTTTTACGAAAATCTTCTGCCAACAGTGGGCCGACAGTTGGCCGACAGACTTTTACGGGAGCTGTTCTTCCCTTTTACCGAAAGATCTGCAAAGGGCATAGCCCATCACTGCAGATGTGCAACAGAGAAAAGTGCAGTGTTTAAATATTTGTTTATTTAAAAGAAGTTTTATAAGGGTCCAACCCGGAAAACCGCAACTTCCACTGAAATGTTTGTCCTAGCCAATGTTCAACAGCTTTATATTTATACTACTTCTTCCCCAGAGGCTACTGCATGTGCCTTGTTAGTTATTAGAGCTGGTAATAAGACTACGACCCACTCCAGGTAGTGCGTTCTCATATTCACATTCATCTTTTCTTGGCAGCAGTCCAAAAAAGTTTGTGCCTAGAAATAAAATCATTTTTGCGTATCTAGGAACTCAAGAAATGCTTCAATTAATCACTGCACCAGCTGACACAGTAGACTCAAGTGCGGGTCCGTATACCTCACATCAAGGACTTGCATTTTTGAAACAGTGGCTTTGAAAAATCAACTCAACTAATTAGTTATTTAGTATTCTTGCCCAAGAAGGTAACCAAGTAAGCAGTGATCTATCCCTCGAATATGGTCGGGTCCAAAGCCATTAATGCATTATATGGCAATATATTGTAGATCGTAGCTGATGCATCATGACAAATTTAACATAAGCCTGTTGTCTGGTCAGGCCAGAATGTTCACACCAATTGCGAAAAGACTGACATCTAGATTTGACAAGAAAAAAAGAAAGTAAATAAACCCATATTATGCCTATCTCCTT